AGTTATTATTATTAAGCAGCAAAAGTAAAAGAAACATGTGGCACATCAAAAACGAAACTTAAAACAGTGGGGGGTCGACCACCCCACAACACCGCCTGCAGTGTTGCGCATTAGACTTAGTTTTAGTGATTTATATGTTTATAGTTTTTTTATAGGTTTAGAGATGAATTTTTTTTGCTTTTTGTTTGTGAAACAAGGTCCGATGAAGCTGGTTCTGGTTCAATTGATTGGACCTGGTGTTACACCGTATTCTGTGACCTGCAACAGTGCATGCAACACCGCCCCCTACAATCACATACGGTGGTCACAGAATATGGTGTAACACCAGTTCGCAACACGCTCCAAACAGTCAGGAAGTTGATTCATTTTCTGTTTCCTTATGGTAGTTAAACCGGAAGATTCATCTTTAGTGAAATATTTCTATATTATTGATGTATTTCTGCATGTTTGCCAAGACTGGGCCTGATTTGCTCCATCTGTCCGCTTGGAGGAATCCATTGTGTAACCCACGGCCGGTGCGGAGCACGTGACGCAATGACGTAACGGCGATGTAATGACGTTACCATGAATACTCAACGTGAAATTAAAAAACTCGATAGATGTCCTAGGAATCAATGTGTAGATTACTCGCATAGTCTGTTAAAGCCCTAGTACCTGCCCGTCTTTTGCTCTCACAGTCTCTGACATGGCACACTCTTTCTTCATCAGGGTAACTTGTTTCTGTCAAGCCCATCTAATATTTGGAGTTTGCCCCACTGCCTGACCCAGACTTCCTTCCTGGCCCTGTTACTCACGGAATGAGCCTTGGCATGTCTATCATTGCCTCTCTCTTAAAGTTCTAAGTCCCTATGTCATGCTCTAACGGCTTTGGTTAACACCAGTTGCACATGGAAGTTTGATATAAGGTTCACAGTGTCGGTGACCCATGATCCAGATACAAACTTTGGAACTCAATTCTAGTGTGGTGTGATGGTCTTGTTCAAGCCTTTGTCTGAGCCTTATCTTTAAGACCAACTGTGTGTATTAATACTAGTAAAATCCCGATACCAGTATTGTTATCAGGCTCAATACCAGCCTCAATTACTCATCCTTGTATTCCGAAAACATCTCCATATTTCAAACTGGAAACACGTTTATGCTCGGTGATGTTGTTTCGTCTCCCAATTTGCAAGGAACCAAGGACGGAAAAAAAAAAATGTACACAGTTTAGATACATTTTAAGATAAACAGGTGATTTAAGACAACAGGCTGTCAGGTCTGTCCTTAATACATGAAGTGCTTTAAAAGTCATGTATGTAGGGATCGTGGTCCGTTTCATGGTGTATGCCTCCTTCTAGTGTTGTGTGTCTGTTCCTGCACTTCCTGGTTTCCTGGTTTGTCATTTTCCCTGATATCATTCACCTGTGTCCTCACATGTGTTTTGTCTCGTTAGTCACTGTATATAAGTCTGTGTCTCTGTGTTAGTCCTTCGTCCTGGCATTGTGATTGATGTCCACTGGTGATGTCCTGTCCACTTCCTGTGAATGGGCTCGCTTCTGATCCTTGCTCACTCCCCCACCGGCGTAGAGGTTGAGGGCAGAAAATGATCCAAACTGCTGAAATCCAGATCCTTCCTCCATCTGAGTCCTCACAAATATAGTCTGAGGAGCTGGGGAGAATTGGTGGGGTACCCGAACCCCTGTTTGCCTACAGAGAACCCTGACCCTGCAGATGTGTCTCCAGTGTTTCCAGCATCTTCAATGTCTCAGCATCTCAAGTGTCTCCAGAGGTCTCGATGTCCACAGAGGGTCCACAGTCCGCTGACGCCTCGACGTCCACAGAGGGTCCTCAGTTGCCGACGCCTCAACGTCCACAGAGGGTCCCTTGTCTGCCGACACCTCGACATCGCCTCTGGTGGGTTCCACGTCTCCTGAGGTCTCTGTCTCCTGAGGTCTCTGTCTCCTGAGGTCTC